TTGACGCGACATTTTACTTTAGAAATTTTATTTCTTTTTATTAATTATAATATAATCCCACGTGGGCTAAGTCGCGGGCGCAGCTAGTATATACAGTCGACAAAATTTAACCCAAGAATGAAAGACAATATTACTAATATTAAGACAATATTAAACCAAGTTAAATATTCGCCATCTTCGGTGTGACCAGCGGCGAACGCTCTGGCGACGGTACCACTTGGAAACGGTGAAAGTGTTATGCGAGAAAGAGGTGATTTTGTGCCCGACGGAAGTCTGTTAAGTTATCGCCTAACTAGGACCCCGCAGGCTTAGCGATTAAGGCTTTGCGGGTGTGAGTTCGAATGCTTGTCGCTCGGAAGGGGCGTTCGGGCGGGCATGTAAAGTACTGATGTAACAGCCTGAGTGCAATTGCCTCCTCTGTATAGAGGGTATTAGGGCATAGTCCACCATGCGGCCTCGCTGCGGATTGGCGGACTACACGTATCGTCGAAATATATTTTTTTATTGCTTCGGAAACTCTTTCACATTTTCCTCACGATGTTTTCCTTCATCGCTGAGCACGTGAGAAGTCAACATTTTAAAATAACAATTTGATCAGTGCCCGCACGGGGCATCGAACTCATTATGATCGAGTACATTGAATTGAAAACGAGCGCCTGGACACTGAGCTAGCAGGGCTCTGGACGTAACTGACACTTAATCTATGATAAAACTCACTGTACCTATTATAGGTATAGTGAGTTTCATGTAAAAGACGATTTTATGTATTTAGGACACATTTTTACACAACCTTCTCTAGTCCCAAACTAAGCAAAGTTTATGCTATGGGTACTATAAAACTGACAGACATACTTAAACATACTTTTCTTTTTTTAAATAAATACATATTATACATATATAAACACCCAGACGCTAGAAAAACACTATGTTCACCACACAATATTTTTCCAGTAGTGGGGTTCGAACCCACGGCCTCTGGCGCAGGCAGGTACACTACCCACTACGCCATTTGGGTCGTTATAATATATTGTTGTTGTGTATATTGTGCATGTGTGCTTTGGAAAAGAAAAGTAATTCGACCCGGCACAGTTAATCTGATTTTAAATTATTTTGGCAACTGTCTTGTGTTTAAAATACTCTACTTGTGTTTAACATAATAACATTCTGAACGTAAGCAGTGAATGTTTAATTTAATTTAATATTTTACACGTCGTCTTTACTTATAAAAATTAGCGTTCGTATGTTTACATGATAATTGCTTGTATTTACGCCATTGCACATTACTAAATGAAACTATGCTTACGGATTTACATATCGCGTTTGTTTTTAGTTTTATTCTCCGACGTTTCGAATCTAATGGCGTTCAAGCTACGGGACAGACGTCTGAGTGTCATTGTTAGAGTTTTTAAAGTTATTAATTTTTCGTTTTTACAGTACTATTTTCGTTTCTCTGTCGATTAGATTGTAGATTATGTCTAATGTTGTAGATTATGTCTAATCTCAAATCTATCTCGATATTTATTTCCAATTCTTCCATCCGCTTTCCAAAGTCTTGTATAATGTTTTTCTGATCTTCATAAAATGATCCACCGCAACATCGACCTTCATTGGATGAAACTTTTGATCTGATTGTTGTTTTTGGCCACGAAGATTATTTTGGTTTCTGAAACAGACCAAATAATGCGAAGGTGCCGCACAGGAATAAGCCGGATGGTGCAGTTATTCGAAAATACAATCACGAATTCTAGCCATACATTCGATAGACGTGTAAACTCGAGCGATTTCCTAGAAAACGTTTTTTTAATCTCGGTCCTTTCTTAGGATCGTAAAGACGTAAGATACGTAAAGGCGTTATTTCAAATTATTGTTTCTTCTTTACCAAGGTGGTCCACAATGATGACACTCTTAGCATCCCGAAAAACTCCACCTTGCCAGCCGACAAGATTGCCTTTTCCTTCATTGCAGCCGGTTTTTCCACTGATTTGATTATCATTTTTATCTGGGTTATAATGTGATCATGGAGGAAACCTGGGTTCATCATCTGAGGTCAACCCTCCTTGGTGACAGACGCGTGGCCGGACCACGTACTTAATTCGGTCGTGTATTAACACCACAAGCCTCCCACGATAACACCCGTGAATGAGCTCCCTCCATTTATGGTATGCGAACGTGACCAACATGGCGCCGGCGCCTCCGTTGAAGCGACGTGACTTGGCGGGAAAATGACGCAATGCCACGCAATCGACTTCGCAGGCAACAAGTGAAAGTTGTCTACCGCCATAGAGCAAAGGCATATCTTGGAGCCGGAATACTTTTGTATGGACAATGTTTTAAATGAAAATACCAGGGCGAACGTTTTATATTTGAGTATTACGGGTCGGGGGTTATCATTAAATGTGATCATTTTAAACATCAGGTACTGGGCAGTTCGTAATAGAAAAGGTTTACTTTAACAACTTCTTAAAAATTTTTTCTTCACATGTAATTGATTACTCCCATAGACATCCATAAAAGTTGGGTAGCTGTTGCGTTGTCAGGTTTCAAGAGCCTCAGTAATCCCTCGCACTAGACGCCAAAGTATCAATACCTTTTTCCTAACACCGGTCTTCCTTTAGGCATGTTTGTAGATAACAATACAAAGGGGGGTCCCTTTGTATTGTTATCTACAAACATGTTTCACAATCTAACGCCCGGTTTCTGAAACACTGATCAACGTAGATGTCAACTAATCAGCTGTCAAATGAATTTCAAATTTCATTTTAGTTGCCAAAAGCATGTTTAACCTCTTTGAATTGATTATTCTGATCATAAAGAAGATCATTCTGTTCAATTCAGAGAGTTTAACCATCTTTTTGGTACCTAAATTGTAATTTGTAATCCATTTGACAGCTGATTAGTTGACATCTACGATGATCAGTTTTTCAGGAACCGGGCGTAAGTCTCTGCTAGAATCGGCTCGTCACCTTTTATATATCCTTCCCGTTGTCTTTTCTTTGTTGTTGCGCTGGCCTTTGATAATTTCAATTGTTTCCAAGTTTTAGAGGAATTCTTCGAACCTCGATTCTTCTTCATCTTTCGTCGCGTATTACATACGGCGTCTTTCAATATCCGGCGGCCGTGATCCGACATTCTCGAAGCGTGGGCGGCCCTAGAGGTCGGCTGGGTTACAGCTGTATTACTGTTCTGTTGCCGCGTCGGGTTGTCAAAACAAAAGCTAGTCGGGCTTCCGACATGACTCGATAGTCGATCGAAAAATACTTCTACTATGAAACTAAACGCCAGTTTCGAGTCTGAAATAAATCGGTGATGGATTCTTTTGGAAGTAGTATGTAACATTGATTTCTTGTTTTTACGCGAATATTAAATGAAACTGTTTTACGGATTTTATCGCGTTATGATTTCGATTTTTAATTCCCGACTCTTCGAATCCTTTCCAGCGTTCATGGTCATGGGACAGACTGATTTGTTTCACGTCTTGATGTCAAAGTTAACCCGGACCACCGTCAATTATTTTCTTATTTATTTTTATTCCGATCTACGCCAAAAAGAGCTTGTGGTGAGAATCACCATTTTAATATTTATTTGTATGGGTCTCCTTACTATACACTGTATGGCTCAAGGTGTTGTTAAGATTTCGGATGACTAATACATCTAGAAAAGCTAAGGAGTTACTTGTCTCTTATTCCATAGCGCATTTAAGTTTGGGATGTAAATAATTGAGGTGGTTTAAAAATGCAATTTAAAGACAGTGCAATTCTTGTGGCTATATTTTGGGCTGATACCGTTTGAATATGTATTGCTATCAACACGAAATAAAGAAGCAGTAATAAGAGCCATAGGTTCGGAATACTCAAGCAGCCTCAGGTCAATCCAATTTAAATTGGATCAATTACGAAAAGTACAGTTCTCCAATCTGCATTGAGATTGCGCGGCGGGCTGTGCCCTATCGCACTCTGTAGCAAAGTTATTTATTGTTATGATTTATTATTAAAAACAGGTAATTACAAAAGCAATAATTTATATCCATATAATATTTTATTTAATTATCAACAAATTACTATCATTGCAATGTTGAAAAAAAATCGAGCAACGCCGTTGAGAAACTTGTACTCGAAGATGCCCGCCCGTCTAAGAGTAAAAATATTTTCAAAAAAAAAAATAAACTATGGTACCAGTCACAGTATCCTTCATGAGCATCTGCATCTGCCAGGGGTCAGTGCAAGACGGGTGCTCACGGAGCCTCAGAAACAAGTGCAAATTGAGTGTTGCAAGGAGTTTTACGAGCCCTGTGGTGAAAATCCGCATGGTATTTTCGACCGAATCGTTGTGAAAACGTTGTAACACGTTGTGTAAAAAAAACTGTTATGTTATGTTGTACACTGTGGCATTGAGCAGCCTTGGAAACGTGTAGCCAAGGCTGCTGTGCGTTACTGCAGACTTGAAGAAACCATCACAATCATCCACTCTAAAGTCCGGACCTAGCCCTGATTAATTTCTGTTCCCCAACCTCGAGAAAGATCTTCGAGGTAACTTTACACCCGAAGGTGAAAAGTTCAAGGCGACAATTGATGAACATTTTTCAGACAAGGAAGAAAAATATTTTTTATACGGTATAGAAAAGTTGATGACTCCGTGGCGCAGTTGCCAAGGTATTGGCTTCGACGTTGGGGTTTGATGCCCACACGGGACAACTATTTTTGTGACCCGCAGACAGTTGTTTCGCATCTAGGTGTTTGTCCACGTGAAATTTATATTAAAATGTCTTTACAGCACAGTATAATGTTATCCTAAAGTAAAAAAAATAAAAAAGCTACTTTCCGCTCAAATAAGTGCATTGAGGTGATGAGGGACTACATTGTAAAATAAATTTTATTCGCTATTTTCTGCTTATTCCTTCACGCCTATACCAAGAATACATTGAACGCCCCTCGTAATGCACTTGTCTATAAGACATTGCTCCTGGATATAGTTCTGAGTAGATTCCTCCTAACGCGTCGCATATGAGTCATACAGTCGTTAAATATCGTCGCAAGTGGCATATCGGTGACCTCAAGGTATTTCTGTTGCCTTATCGAGTGTCCCTTTGTCTTCTTGAAGTCGTATCTTATGTATACGTAACTTCGTGACTGGAATCCTATTCTAGAATCTTTACTTAATATTATAAACGCGAAAATTTGTATGGATGTTTGTTACTCTTTCACGAAACGACTACTGACATTTTAATAAATCTTTACAATAATGTAGCTTATACATCAGAATAACACATAGGCTATAATTAATAAAGATATTGTGTGAATTTTCTAAAAAATAACGATAAGTGTCAAGTAAGTAGGAAAAAATTCTGCCATCTGCGAGCTATTGGTAGCTGGTAGCTGGTGTATAATAAAAAAACTCTTTGTTAATTCCCTTTGACGGCGCGGGCGAAGCCGGGTTTAACATTTAGTATGTTAACATTTAGTATATATAAAGGAACATGATAATGGTCAGAAATATCCAATAAAAGGAATAAGTTGCATAAGATCGTAGAACTGGTCACATATACTCTCTGTTGGCTTTTTATGTCGATGAGGATGAATATACGACTGAGTTGTTTCATCTTTACAAAATTGTGGTATTTTATATCATTAATATTGTTAGCGGGATGTATCGCAATGCTAACATAGCTCAGAAGATTAGTAAGCTGATGTGGCGATGGGCCGGCAATATAGCACCTAGAACCGATATCCGATGGGGAAGAACGCTTCTTGAATGGTATAGCCTCTTAGTACTGGCCATCGCAGTGTAGGACGACCCCCACTAGATATAGTGAACGCCTGTGCAAGTGTGCTCAGGTCGTCACTCCATCCGTGGAAGTCGGTGGAGGTCGTGGTACTTACCCGGACGGACCTCCCCATTTGTGTAACAGCGAAGACTTGTGTGGACCTACCCCAGTATTTACTCTCAACAGGCTGAAATCAAGAAAGAAAATGGTTATAACGGTGGCAAAATAAACACGAAGAAAAGTTTTTTTAACCTTTTTGGTGGGTACGTAGGTATCTTATATGCAATATAGAAAACCATTATCCTCATCTGTTCAGAATCCCGAGTTAATATTGTCCCTGACTTGTATAATATGAAGCTATCCGGGTTTAAGCTTTGTTATCTATGCATGTTAAGTAATTAATAAAAGTAATATATCGATAATAAATAAAGTACCTATCAATATGAAGTGCACTTGTTTCAACACTAAAGATTTTTAGTTCCGCAACTGCTTGGTATAAACTGTTGGCGAATAGGCGGAATCAAAATTGTTAGTTATGTAAATATTCGTTTTTTAATAGAAGCGCCCGAATACGTATGGTGTGAAAATATGAAGGACGTTCTACGCGAACGTAAGTTGGCATATTGAGGATGTTTAATAATACAAAACGATACTTGAAATTGTTTGCATGCTGTAAAGTATATAACAATAAATGCGCCAAGCTGTTTGAAATGCTAAAAAAAGGGTAGATATCACACGTTGAGATTTTCGTTGCAGTGGCAGTCGGACGGTTAGCTTAGTGGTTAAAGCGTCTGGGAGCGAATAAGGAGGACATGGGTTCGGTTCCTGCGCCTTACTTCTACCGTGTAGTTTTTTAAGTCATCATAATCCCTCTGCCCTTATCCCACCTAGGTCGGCACAACGTGTGTATGTGGTTTTGCCTAGGTTTTTTAGGGTTCCAAACCCAAAAGGTAAAACGGGACCCTATTACTAACTACGCTGTCTGTCTGTCCGTCTGTCACCAGACTGTATCTCATGAAGCGTGGTTAGACAGTTTAAATTTTCACAGATGGTGTTTTTCTGTTGCCGCTATAACAACAAATGCTAAAAAAGAGAATAAAAATATTTAAGTGGGGCTCCCGTACAACAGACATGATTTTTTGCCGTTTTTTAGATGGTATAGAATGGTACGGAGCCCTTCGTGCGCGAGTCCGACTCGCACTTGGCCGGTTTTTCTCCCTACCGGCCGACTGCCTGACGTCATCTCTCCTTGGGAACAAACGCCACGATCTCGAGCAATCATCCGTGGGGTACACATATACTTACCCTTGTAATCGAACCCACGAGCTCGGTGCCGAAGCCAGAGGCCCCACTGCCTACTAACTACTAGAACATCCACGGTGTTAAATTGGTTAGTTTCGCGTCTAGCTGTGGCTCTATCTATACTGATGAAGTGGTGACACACGAGCAGTGTCCAGAACAGAAACAAGTCGAGAAACATAGAACGAGCAATCTTAATCTTGACAGTTATTTAACCGATTCCGAGGAAAGTTGCACCGTTCTATAAACTGAAAGCGAGTGAAATTGTTGAAAATTTTCGCCGGGTTCTGAACCTGAATCTTCTGGGAACGCCCGCAGACGCTATAGCCCTGAATGAACAATCCTAACGGTGCAAAAATCTTGATAAAACTATCTAATTTTATTTTGGATTTTTAGCAACGCTTGCCGCCACCTGGTGAGCTACTTTTCCATGTGCCGACACTCCAATAACAGTTTACAATAAATATTTGGACGAGAGGTCTAGCCTATTCCCTAGCAGTGAAATTATAGTGGAATAGTTTTATTTTTAGTGCTAGTGTGTATTCATGATGAAATATAAATGTGAGGTTAACATAAAAATTGTCGAAAATATCATCGCTCCAGTGTTCGAAAGAATATATACAGCGTGTCTTTACAATCGCGACAATAAATGAACACACATATATAGGATAACTTTTTAAAATTGTACTAAACATTTACATTCTTTAAACATCAATATTTAAAGAGTTATTAAATTTTCCAAAACAAAGAATTTTAGACGTATGCCCTTACGTATGTAACTGTAACGTAAAGTTAATTTGTAAGCATATGAATGGGTTGAATGAATTTAAAAGAGACAAAACATAATGTTGGAAGGAGAGGCTTGTATTACGACGCTCTGGCACGAGTTGTATAGGATGTTACAAATTTTGTTTCTTTTTTACTTTATTACTTTGTTTGAAAACTATTTTTTTTAATTATGGATTTTGTTTAACGTTAATATTTTTTATGATTATTGGCAATTAGCGTTAGACGCGTGTTCATTTTTTGTCACAATGGTAACGACACGCTGTATACATGTTGACTAACAAAAGAACACACATAAATTTGGCCGGCCTGTTTAGAAACCCATATCCGAATATCACATACTTTGTTATAAAGTGGCAACGCACCTGCAATCTTACTGGTGTTGCAAATGTCAATGGGTGGCGGGCACCTAAAATCAGATGAGCCACCAGCTCGCGTGCCACCTTCTCACATAAAAAACCTTTTGTTGAAGACTTTAATACTACAACTTGTCCTAACACTGTTTTATTGGATGTGTAGAATCACATTTTAGTACGTTGTTTGAAGTCGGTAATTTTTAACAAAAAAAAACCGACTTCAAACAGGAAACTAAAAACATTGTTAATACCTATAACATTTGACGATTGCCCGCGATTTTCCTGAGATGCCATCTTCAGATCCGGGTTTCCTTGTCATGGTACCCTTGGGGTATCTCCTCGCCAACAAAGAAAAGAATCATTAAAATCGGTTCATAAAACACGAAGTTATCTGGGAACACACATAAAAAAATATACCGTATATTTTACTTCAAATTGAGAAACCACCTCCGTTTTTGAAGTCGGTCAAATATCCTGTGCTATATCCACATTATACGTATTAATAAGCTCGTGTTTACGCGTTTGTCTGACTGTCCCGATTTAATTATAGGGTTAGGCTACTTGGCCATGCGAAGTGATCCACTCGGGGGGGGATATTAATAGGACTAATAAAAAGTTTTTAAAGTTTTGTATGTATCCATTGTGCTTAGACTGTGAATAAACGTTTCTTCTTCTTCTTCTAACTAATCCTCTGTGTCATTCCAGGTGTCACGTTTGGTGATACTGCATGAGGAAGCGGAGGATGGCAACGCCATGCCCGACCTGGCGCGGCCGGTGCAGGCCGTGTCGCTGGCGGTCAACAACCTCGTCAAGGTACCTCGGCTAGTGGCCGTTCGTTTAAATTTTGTTGAAACAGATGATAAAAAAGTTCCCGCTGTTTGCTTTATGTGGACGGTTGGCAAGCAAGTTAGCTGATTGCCAAGCATTGCTTCAAATGCTAAGAAAACAATGTAGAAGAATGCGTTAAGATTTTCGTCGGTGTGGCAATCAGCCGTTTAGCTCAGTGGCTAGAGCGTGTCAGGCCGCGAATGCCGAAGACGTGGGTTCGATTCCCACAGCGGCGACAATCTTTTCGTACTTTTTCTACATGTTTTAATGTTCAATCTTAAGTGCAGAGATTAGCACTATAAAACAAAAAAAAACTTTAAAATTTATAAAAGCAATGGCGATATCTCTCGTTCGAATTATCGTTGTAAAATGATATTCGAAATTGTTTGTATGCTGGAAAGGATATAACAATAGATGCGCCAAGCATTGCTTCAAATGCTAAGAAAACAATGTAGAAGAATGCGTTAAGATTTTCGTCGGTGTGGCAATCAGCCGTTTAGCTCAGTGGCTAGAGCGTGTCAGGCCGCGAATGCCGAAGACGTGGGTTCGATTCCCACAGCGGCGACAATCTTTTCGTACTTTTTCTACATGTTTTAATGTTTAAAGTTAGCTGATGTTAAGTGCCACCAATAGATATGGTCCAGCGCCTCGTGGACTTCAACAACGCCAGATGGATTGCAGATACGTTGCTAACAATTAAAATAGCGGGCCCCGGTCAACTCTCTCGCTAGACGAGTGAAAGTATAATACTTTTACTTCACGTTCGTCTTCTGCGAGGCCGTGGTACTCCCCCGGATGGTTCTGGCCATTCCTGAAGCAGCTGGACGCTGTTGCGTGGCGTGGTTTTGCCACAGTGATGTATGTTTCGCTGTGGTAAACTATGTCACACCATACACTCCTTACTAGATAAAAATTTAAAAACTCCGAAAAATTCTAAAGACTAGTCTTTATGCAGCTTTCGCATCGAATATAACACCTATTTTTATTGCTCTATAGTTGAAGTGTAAGGTATTTATTTTCTTTCTTTTTTATAAAAACACTGCCCTTACTTTAGGACAACATTATCCTACGTTGCACGGACGTTTCACATACATAAATTTCACGTGGACGAACACCCAGATCCGAAACAATGATCTGTGGGTCACGCAAATAGTTGTCCCGTTTGGGCATCGAACCCACGACCTGCGGCGCCGAAGCCAATAGCTTGGCAACTGCGCCACGAAAAATCACAAATCAAAAAATCTTTTTTTTTTTCTATGTGCGGAAGTGTCAAACGAGCTGGCGGTTCGCCTGATGTTAACTGATAACCATACCTGCCCATGGACATTTGCAACACCCGTAGGGCTGGAGATGTGTTGCCGCCTCTTAATAATGTGGAACTGGCTTCGTTCCACCGTGCAGGTAGGCCACGAGACCATAGAGTCGTCGGACGACGCGCTCCTGCGCCAAGACATGCCGGGTGCGCTGCGCCGCGTGGAGGGCGCCGCCACCTTACTTCAGCAGGCCTCGGACATGCTCCGAGCTGATCCCTACTCGGGGCCGGCCAGGTATGAACCCAGTCCTCTCGCCTAGGGCTCTTAGAACAGGGCTAAGGTACACCTACCTGTCATAAAGGTGACTAAAGAGGACACAGATTGACAGCTAGTCTCTTAGAATAAGGCTAAGGTATCCCCTTCCTGTCGTAAAAGGATGCTAAAAGAGGAAACGGACTGGAAGCAGTACGAAGTGGCATCGAGCTGTTCCCAGATGGTGAGGGAATTGGGGAGGGTTGTTTCTCCGAGGCGTGCTTATGCGCAGAACCGAGGGACACACAGAGAAATTGTCGCTCACGGGTAAAATCATCAATGTGTGCATCCAATTGGGGGACAAATTTTATTAAGCCGTGAAGGCGTTGGGCGTGAGGAGACAAGACAGTGTGTACAGACAACCGCATATTGGCGAGGGATACTTGTCAACAGATTTATCACAAGTTGTCCTGTTTTATTACAGTTCTTCTGAATAGTTCATACAAATGGGGGTTAACGAAAGACTTTTTATGTTAAGTTAGCAAGTGTTAAGTGTTTCACCTGATGTTAAGTAATTACCGCCGTCCGTGGACATCTGAGACACCCTGTGGGTTGCAGTTGCATTGCCTATTTAAGGTTCGCGCATCGCATCGCGTAACCTTGGTCACCTCAATCGCGACGCATTATACGTTCACTTCAAGCCGGTCTTCTGTGAGCTGGACGAGACTTCTTATTCGTTTAACACCACGAATGTGCAATCCACTATAATAGTGAAAAGCGGAAAATAGTTATAATTTTAAGCCCTGTGGGCTCGTTGTCCATACCTATGTATTCTTTTTTTTTTCAATTGAGAAGGTGGAAACGGAGCTGGTGGTCTATCTGATGTTAAGTGATAACATAACCACCGTTAATGGACATGCAACTCCCTGTCAATAAAGTTGGCCCCAGCTACGTCACTCGCAGACGAAACGCAGAAGAACGCACTCCCACAGACGGAGCTGCCCATTCGTGCAACAGCTAAGACTATTGCGTGGGCCTGCCATAGTTAAATCACTGCAGTTTTCACTGTATTACAGAAAGAAACTGATCGAGGGTTCCAGAGGCATCCTGCAAGGCACCTCGGGTCTACTATTATGCTTTGACGAGTCGGAAGTCAGGAAGATCGTAAAGGAATGCAAAAAGGTTGTTAAATAACTTTACTGATCTAAACCATTTTCGAATCCATTTGAAGACACACAAAAAATTTCATCAAAATCAGTCCAGCCGTTTAGGACAAGGTCAGTGACATACACACGTAACGAAGAATTATATATATAAAGATAAAGAAGGCAGAGTGACTAGATATAAAGTGACTATATGGAATGACGACTTGTTCAAGTGTGTTCAATTCGATGGTTGCAGTTAGGTTGTTGGAGCCGCGGGCGTAAATCTAGTGATGATATAAAGAATATTTGAAAGGGAGAACGAATCGCGTTTATTCACGGTCTAACCACAATAGATCCATAACAAACCTAAAAGTAAATAAAATTACACAGAATATAAGATAATGATGGACAAATTGAAATAAACGAAAGCGTAACAAAAAAAACCAGTTCAGTATTAGTTCCGAAAGCGAGTCCTTTAACAAGTTCAATTCAGAAGATGTGGTAGACGCTGATGGAAGCTCGGTAGGTGAAGCATTGAGGATTGCTTATCGAGGAGTTCTTCCGCAGGTTCTGGACTACCTGGGAGTGGCGGAAGTGATCGACACTATGGAGGACTTGGTGCAGTTCCTCAGGGACATCTCGCCGGCGCTGTCCAGAGCGGCCAGGGAGGTGAGTACCATTTGCAGCGTTACGCTATCGGGGCACCAGGAGACGCGAAAACCGTAGAAGTTTTCGGAAGGTGTTTTTTTTTCTTATGTCAAAAGTTGCCAAGCGAGCACATGGTTCACCTGATGTTAAGTGAATACCGCCACCCATGGACACCTGCTACACCCGAGGGTTGCAGATGTGTTGACAAAATTTTGAAAATTGGAAAGGTGTGTATACGACACTTAATACGCCGCTATTTCTGCTTTTCAACCTTCTTCAAAATAGTAGGAGGTTCCCAATTCGACTGTATTTTTTTTACGTTTGTCACCTCAGAACTTTCGACTGGGGTACCGATTTTGATGTTCCTTTGTTTATTTGTAAGCTGGTGCTTCCAACGTGGTCTCAAAAAAAAAGTTAAAGTAACAGCCTATATATGTCCCACTGCTGGGCAAAGGCCTCCTCTGTACAGAGGGTATCAGGGCATAGTCCACCACGCGGCCCCACTGCGGATTGGCGGACTTCACATATCTTCGAAATATATATTTTTTTGCACAACTGTGGTCTCATATTAATTTAATTGGTGTTGGATCTCAGGCTCCGGAGATACGTAGGGAACTCCTGAAAATCAACTATAAAATGAATACAGAGAGAGATATTTGAAGTCGATTATGTTTTTCGTTATTGAAAGAAATGGACTTGTCCACGAATGTGGGGGCTCGTCCGCGAACGTACCACGTCACAGGAGATAGGCGTAAGGTGGAAGTATTATACTTCTGCGTTTCGTCTGATAATTTGGGCCCACACTTTTGAGTTTGGCAATGCATTGGAACACCATAGTTGACCACTCTGCTCACTTGCCATTTCAAAATTGTCCATGCCCGAATGACCGATCCTTTAGTTTGGTTGTATATACAGTCCAGATGTGTAGAAGTGACTTATTCTGACCTTATAATGTCCCGTTCCAGTTCCATAGTACGAGATTTAGCTATCAAAATAAGGAAGCAATGTGCACATTCTACTGCAGTTTTCCGTCACTTCATATTACCGTTTTCTTTCTTCGTCACAAAATTTCAGCACTCGGTGGGTTTCCTCGTCGTGATTTGCTTGAAAGTAGTCAAAATTGATTTAAACATTTCAAACTGTGGTAGGGCCTCTCAACAGTGTCCGCTGTTGCACGAATGGGCAGGTCCGGGTAAGTGCCACAACCCACCAGACGACCGGCGTTGAGTAGAAGTGTTACACTTACGCGTTTCGTCCGGTGGGTGAGGTAGCCGAAGCCCACTTTGGCTTATCCAAACAGTGGCAACGCATCTGCGAGCCTACTATTTATCACTTCGTTACAACATCAGGTGAAACGCCTTCTCGCTTGCCACGTTCTCAAATAGAAAAAAGTAGGAAAAACTCGTCGCAGGCTTTGATCAGCGTTGGAAGTGTTGATGCGATACTGTTATAACCCACCAGGTGGCCGCACGAGCGGCGGAGCTGACCCACCCGCCCCACGCGGAGACCCTGGCCCGCTGCCTCGAGAGTGTCAAGCAGCTGGCGCCGCTCCTGATCTGCTCCATGAAGATCTACATCCACATCCTCGCGGAAGGTAAGCCGCTAAGCAGCCCCGGCTGTTGCACGAGTGGGCAGGTCCGTCCGGGTGAGTACCACGACCTCGCAGAAGACCGGCGTCAAGTGGAAGTGTTACTCTTCTGCGTTGCGTCTGGCGAGTGAGGTAGCCGGGGCCCTCTTTATTATGAGGTGACAATTCATCTGCGGGTGTTGTAAATGTCAATGGACGGCGGTTATCACTTAACATCAGGTGAAACGCCAGCTCGTTTGCCACCTGATCACATAAAACTTACCCAACTGGTAATGACCACGTGGCGCAGTTGCCACGGTATTGGCTTCGGCGCCTGAGATCGTGGGTTCGATTCTCAAACGAAATAACTATTTATGTGGCCCACAGATAATTGCATCCGATCTGGGTGTTTGTACTCGTGAAATTTACGTATGTAAAATGTCCTTACAAGAGAGTTTAACGCTACAATAAGGGGGCTACAATAAGATCTTCCCAAGTTGCAGTGGCTGTTGCGACTAGGTAGTAACCCAACACACACAATACCTCACTAGTCTTCTAAGATCCTGCCTGCGTATTTTCTAAATAATAGAAAAAATCGAAGATATGTGAAGTCTTGCCAATCAGCATTGGGGTCAAGTGGTGGATTATATACTAATACCCTGTACAGGGGGCCTTTGCCCAGCAGTGGCACATGGTTAGGCTGTTATTTTACTTTTTTCTACCACATTTAATATGGTGGCAGGTGGCAAGGGCATGGAGGAAGCGGCCGAGAACAGGAACTACCTCGCCCAGCGGATGGCCGACGAAATCCACGAGATAATACGGTGAGCAGCGATTGAAATATGCATATTTACTCAAATTGAGCAGTGGTACCACATCTCTCGGTGACGCCCGTCGACTGTTTCAGGGTTTTGCAGCTGACCTCGTACGTGGAAGACGGTGGTGAGAAGGACAACGTGGCAGTGCTGAAGGCCTTGCAGGCGCAGATGCACGCCAAGATGGGGGCGGCCTACGAGTTTCTAACTGTATGGCTGATCAGATCAATACGCCAAATGCTTAAAGGAACAATACGCACTCGCACACCAGAACTTATTCACTCATTCACTCATTCACTCACTCACTCGTTCACTCACTCATTCATTCACTCACTCACTCTCTCACTCATTCACTCACTCAGTTATTTATAGGCAAATATCACGAACACCAAAAAATCTGTAAAGATATTTCCGTAGCAATGAAAAAAAAAGTTATAGTAAAAATATAACGACAAAAGGAAGCCGATAAAAATTAAAAGTAAAAATTAAGTATAATAAGTGCCTTAGTAGCGTGATGAGTTATTAAATATTCGCTTAGTTTATTTTACTTTAGATTATTAGGTTTTGAAATTTTTAGAAAGAAATACGAAGAGTTCTTTGCCGCTGCGGGAATCGAAACGACGTTTTGGGGATTCGTGCCCAGACGCTCTAACCACTGAACTACTGGCGGACGGCTGACTGCCACTCTGGTGAAAGAGATTAGCAATATAAAAATTAATTCCTTTTAAGGTTTCACATGTGAACATGTTTATTTACATGCCGGTAGAAAATGCCATATAGCATTAAGCCCGCCGTTTGTACCAGTTTGTACAGTAAAGTTTTAAATCTATTTATAAAAATGAATTGCTGTTCGTTAGTCTCGCTAAAAGTCGAGAACGGCTGGACCGATTTGGCCTTTGTTCTGAAATATTTTTAGCAGTCCAGGGAAGGTTTAAACGATGAGAAATTATGGAAAAATTGAATGGCATAACGAAATAGCAACAATTTTATTTTCCCGTACAAACTGTTCCCACCTGTCAAACATTTTATGCGTGCGTTCCGAAAATTCATTTTATGTGTTCAAATTAACCAATCTACGTAGAAATAATTTATACGGCAACAACGTTTGCCCGGGTCAGCTAGTAAATAAATAAATAAATGAACGTGTCGATTGCAGGACGCGTCCGCTCAGCGCAACGGGCCGGGCGAGAGGGCGCTGCGGTCGGTGCTCAACTCGGCCCAGCGGGCGGCCGAGCACCTGGGCCCAGACCTGGCCGACTCGGCCAGACGAGCCCTCAGGTAGGGGGTTCGATCCCCGCTGCTGGCCAAATATTGCGTGTTTATATATTTACAATGGTATTCATTTACAAAAGAAAAGTATGTTTAAGTATGTCTATCAGTTTTGTAGTATCGATAGTAGAAGCGTTGCTTAGTTTGGGACCAGAGAATGCTGTGTAAAAATTTGTCCCAAATATTAAATGAATATGTGAGACGGTGGCAGGCGAGCTGGAGGCTCACTCGGATGCTAAGTGATAACCGCCGCTCATTGAAATTTGCAACACCCGTAGGGTTACCACCTTCTCATAAAGTAATGCAAGAGTCTACTTCACACCTACCCATTCGTGCAACGGCGCAGACTGTTACCATAGTTTGTAGCGTCTGATCTATTTTAAATAAAAAAATGTATGTTTGCCTAGTTTACGTTTGCACCCATAGTAAGTTTGGTTTAATTTGTAACTGAATAAAGTGTAAAAACATGTGTTGAAAATTTTTTTTTTTTTTTTAAGTATTTTTATTTTATTTTAAAACAATACTGGAATATATATAAAGAACCAATTACAAGTTTCCACCTTTAGTACATAATTATGTTTTAAGAAAAGTCGAGCAAGAGTTGAAAGAAAAAAATGATAAAAAAAATAAAAAACAGTATATACAGCGTGTCGTTACCATCGCGACAATAAATGAACACACGTCTAACGCTACTTGCCAGTAATCATAAAAAAATATTAACGTTAAACAAAATCCATAATTAAAAAAAAATATTTTTCAAACAAACTAATTAAGTAAAAAAGAAATAAAATTTGTAACATTCTATAAAACTCGCGCCACAGCGTCGCATTACAAGCCTCTCCTTCTAACAGTATGTTTTGTCTCAATTCATTCAACCCATTCATATGCTTTGTGACCTTTACTAATGAACTTTACGTTACATTTTCATACGTAAGGGTGTTCTAAAATTGATTGTTTTGGAAAATTTAATAACTCGGTAAATATTGATGTTTAAAGAATGTAAACGTTTAATACAATTTTAAAAAGTTATCCTCTATACGTGTGTTCATTTATTGTCGCGGTGGTAACGACACGCTGTATATACGGTACGGTTTTATTCTTATTCATACACTTTTATATATTATATAAGACTAAAACCGTAATAGATCGCTGTGCCGTTTTTATTTCCATATAACCCGTGTTCAAATCCCTGTGCCGGCACTAATGAAATTGTTCTCTAAAATGGCTCGGGGGTAAAGGCTCTAAAACATCGTGACATCAGATCTGCGTATTTTCAAGAAAATAATAAAAAATATTTCGAAGATACGCGAAGTCCGCCAAGCGCGGCTATGCCCTGGCACCCTCAGTGCAGAGGCCTTTGCCCAATAGTGGGACTTGTATAGGCTGTCACTTTACTCTACTTTTCATACGCAGATCGGCGGGAATAAACGCGGACCATCTGTGCGACGAGAGGCAGCTAGGGCGCGGCAGGGAGCCGAAGGTGCCTACTTTTAATACCATAATAATATAACATAATTTTAACAAAAAAAAAATAAACCGACTTAAAACCGGAAACTAAAAAAACCGACTTCAAACACGAAACTAATAAAACATTGTCAACGCCTATAACATTTGAGGATTGCCCTCGATTTCTCCGGGATGCCATCATCAGATCTGGGTTTACCTTATCACGGTACCACCCTTGGGATATCTCATTTCCAACATAAAAGAATCATCAAAATTTATTCATAAATGACGAAGTTATCCCCGAACACACAAAAAAAAATAAAAATATATACGGTTGCATTGGGAAACCTCCTTTTTTTGAAGTCGGTTAAAAATATTATTACGACCCAATTGGCGCAGTGACCCTATCTCTAGAGTCAGAGGCAATGAATCCATACCATAGTTTCATTTTATTAATGTGTAATCGCGTAAATACATGAAAATTATTAAAATTTAAATTAAATGTACTTCAATTTTTAACCAATATTTACGTAAATTCCTGACTACGGCTGCAATGAAGGGAATTTGGCAATAGTTGACAATTTGATTAGGCTCGCTCCTCATTGGCTTGGTAGCTCATTGTCCGGGCGCTAAACTCGAGCAATCTGAGTTCGATCCCCGGTGACGGCGCGGATGAAACTGTTAACTATAGTGCTGACTTATCACGTACTCGGCGGTGAGGAAAAATCGTTCCTGCATATTTTCGAAGTATTAAAAAAAATGTTTTAAGTCCGCTAATTCGCAGCGGGGCCGCGTGGTGGACTATGGCCCAATACTCTCTATAGAGCAGGCCTTTGTCCAGCAGTGGGACGTTTGTGGACTGTTACTTTAGTTTATGACCCGGTGGCGCCGTTGCTAAGCTATTGACTTCGGTCTCAGGCGTCGTGGGTTCGATTCCCACGCGGGATAAGTGTTAGTGTAACCCTCAGATAAGTGTTCCTTATCCGGATATTTTTTTCCCAATGAGAGTTGACGTCAGGCAAAAAGTCAGACAAAACCGCTTACAACATGATTGATTCACATGTTGTTCCGACCCACTTAGGTGGGATATGAGCAGGATGATGATGAGTATTGAGTTTACTTCACTTTCGCTCCTTAGGCCCTGAACCTGGCGTCGGACCTTCGCAAGCAGCTGAACGAGGTGGACGGCATCGTCAACGAGGGGGTGAGGGCGGCGGAGAAGCAAGGCGGCAAGGCCATACAGGCCAGGTTCGTATTTGACCCCAGCACCGGGGCTCCGAGAGGCCGTAGTCGCCCATTGTGGTACGATGGCCTCACAGAAGACCGCCATTTTCTTATTTTTTTTTAATTGACAATTTTCGAGCGAGCTGACAGCTTAAGTTAAGTAATAACCTCCGCCCATTGACATTTGAAATACCCGTAGGGTATTTGCACATATGCGTTCTTATCTTTTATTAAAGTGGGCCCCGGCTACCTCACTCACCAGACGAAACGCAGAAGTATAACGCGTCCACTTCACGCCGGTCTTCTGTGAGGTGGTGGCATTTCCCCGGACGCCCATTCGTGCAACAGCAACCTGTTGCTCTACATCTCCAATATCTCAAGATTGTTCTTATTTTTTTGCATTGTTATAATGTTTTATAAGTGATGTGTCCTCGGTATTTATAATAGGTATACTATAAATCAATAAATATCAAATTTATTCTCAGTAAGACATTAATTAAGGGTTGGGAATGTCTTTAGTTTTCAATAAAGTAAATAAATAAATAAATGTACAGTATTACCGTGAACACGAGAAATTGTGTTTACGATAATAATATAAATATACCAATAAATAAAAAAAAAATTCTGTGAGACATTAATAATTAAGGGTTGGCAATGTATTTTGTTTCTGTTTCCCTCCAATAAAGTAATTTATAAATAAATGTACATTATTACACGAGAAATCTTCTTTACGATGTTACTGTAGAAATCGTTGTGGTTACGATTTGCGATTTTTCGCTTGCAGATTGGAGACCGCCCACAAATGGCTTCTGCATCCCGCTGCGGACCCTCAAACCAGAGCGGAGGGTCAGAAGGCCATCACCAGCATTGTCTCTCAGGGGCAGAGGGTAAGTTCATTCATTTCACAATCCAGTATGCCAATAGGGTACGGTATCTACTGGATTGGAGACCTGTCTCTTACCCCAAAGGGTTGGTTCAATCTTCACTACTGGGAAATTATTGTGTTACAGTGTCAGGTTCGTTCCGGTAAATTCCGTTACCTCGCAGAAGACTTCGATAAAGAAATATGAAATCTAACTGATGTCTAACTGTCTAAGAAGAACATGTAAAAAAATAGGAAAAGGCAGTGGATGTTTTTAAATACATGTTCCCACGACGTTTGCTTTTGAATGTCTGATATATTTTTAATGTTCGACAAATTATTGGGCTCTAGTGAAAGCTGATATTTTAGTGTCGGGTAGCTCACTTTTATTTAATGTACTCGAGCAACCTGTGTTCAAATAACGGATAATAGTTGAAGGAAAACATCCTAAGAAAACCTGCATATTTCCGAAAATAAAAAAAGTATTTGTTACATATGTGAAGTCTACCAATGCGCTGTGGGGTCCCGTGGAGGACTATGTCCTAATACCCTCTGTTTAGTTTTTGTCCACATTAGGACAGGCATAGGCTGTTATTATACTCACTACTCCAACAAAATGGCGTTACACCAAATAGGTACTTTTGTATCGCAACGTTCGCTGTTGGTGTAGGTAGTGACGCTACTTGTCGCACCACTGACCGCGTCTGACTCGCGCAGATCGCCGACGGGCTGCAGGGGCGCGAGAAGGCGGAGGTGCTGCAGCTGTGCGGAGACGTGCAGCGCCTCTCCGAGCGGCTGGCGGAGCTCAGTGCTGGCGGCCGAGCTGGTGGCGACGAGCTCCGCGCCATCACCAGGTGGGATGTGGTGACGGGGAACGGTCGACCCTGAAGCTTAATGTTTACGGTCGCTGGATGACTAGACATCACGTGCCGTTGCGATGGGGCGAACAGGCGCGCGATTTAATCGTGATTACCATCTCCTGTGGACATCTTATTGGAATATATTTCCGTTCGGTCCATGGAAATGTAGACACTTTTACTGTGGTAGGGTCGCGCAGTAGTCTTCGTTGTTGCACTTCCAATATTGAGCCGTTGTGTCCAACATAAGAGACCGGCGTCATTTGAGATTGCTACACTACTGCGTTTCGTCTGGTTAGTGAGGTAACTGTGGCTCGTTTTATTGAAAGATGGCAACGAATCACGTCTCGTTCAATGTCACCGCCTGTGAACATCTTTTACACCTGTTAAACTGCAGAGGCGCGTCGACCTTTTAAGCGTTACCAAATTAACCAGTCGAAGTTATAGTACACTACTACATTTATTATCGCAACGGCAGATGCTATATCCGCCTCGAAGGCCTGGCTTTTCTGCAGTTAAGATTGGTCATTTCCGCATCCGGCTCGAAGGATCATTATTAAGTACGTTGTTAAATAAAATTGCTGTTGTTATATTGAGGCTACTCAACTTTTGTTATTCTGTCACGTCGTTCGTAGGGTACTTAATAATTTAAATAAATTGAATAATATATTATACTACCGAATATAATATAATTTATTAACTTTCGGTTCTGCCGGATTGGCATCTGCATCTTCTGCAATTTAAGTTGTCCAGACGTTCTAAGTGACCAACGCCTGTGATGATACTTTAATGAGTCTAAAATGTATTCGCGGAAGGGCAATAGACTGTGCACTCAATGATTTTTCATCCCGCGCCACCGTATTATCGACTCGTGTAACTTCGACAGGGAGCTGTCCGACAAGTTGCACGAGCTGAAGCGCGGCATGGAGCGGGCGGTGGTGAACAGGGTGGTGGAGGACTTCATCGACGTGGCCGCGCCCCTCAGGCACTTCACCGACGCTGTTAACGCACCAGAAGGTGAGCGCTATATTGGTTAAAGGCTGGAGTAGTCTTTCGAAGAATGGCTATACACACTAGGAGACGACACCGTGTACTTATCTGCTGCTGGTTATATTGCTTAAATTTTTCCTGACTTTATTTACGCCTGAGTCACAAATGATAGCGTGTTCATCAACGCAGGCCTCATGTATAATATTACTGGAGATAAATAAAATAAAAATATCAGTGAATTTTTAAGCGTCGAGATTAACTTAAACTTTTTTTGGCACGATTGGGAAAAATATGAATTTTTACGATGAACCAAACCCAAAAGTGATACTTTTGCATTTTTGCTGACACTCTCCCCCGCCCCTTGGTAGGTTTTCACGAGTTTCATGGACCATTTCTAAACAGAGTGATGCATGTGGACATGCGGGCATCAAGAATACGAGGGATTTATTTCAAAATGTTGTGTTGAGAAACGTGTTCTATCGCGTCATTTGCTTAGGAGTTAGCAGTCATATCTCCGCGCTTCACTACTCCAATCTCTTCACTAATTCCAATACGATGTAATAAAGTTTATCGTGCATCAGAATTGATTCTGGTCATAATTGTAAGTTATTACTTGGAATCGATCCTTATTACTGGAACACGTGACGATGACCCATTCGCCCCAATTGTTGTAGTTGATAGTCATCCTGCCTCTTGCGCCAGAGGGTGTGGGTTCGATCTCCTGGAATAATGTTGTGCGATGAACATATATATGTCTGTTTATCTTTATATATATATATATATATATATATATATAAAAATTTCGTGTCATGATGTATGTTCGCGATAAACTCTGAAACTACTGAACCAATGTTTATCAAAATTTGTAGGCATTTGTAATTTGGTCGATTTTGGTTGATAGGGTAGTTTTTATCTCAATTATTGATCTCAATATTTGTTATTGCAAATTATTTGTTTATTGATGACAAAGAGCTATCTGCGAGTCCCATAAGATTGCAACAGATGGCGGTGTAAGATAAATTTATCGGCTGGATTGAGTAAGTATCCGATAGATGGTGCTATGCTAAAAGTAGAAGCGTATGGACCGATAGAACCGCGGCTGGTGACAAGAGAGCTGGTTCTTATCTCGCTCAAAGGCTACGCTTAACTATTCAGCGAGGAAATGCAGCTAGCGTTCTTGGCACCATGCCGCGTGGATTAGGTTTCTTAGATAGATTTAATCTTGTAAATTTTAGATCGGTTGGTGCAGAGGAAGTCGCGCGGGCCGGCTAGTATATCCGTAAAGGTGTCTCCCTTAGGCACGGCCGGCCGCGAGGCGGCGTTCGGCGAGCGCGCGCGGCGCTGCAGGCGTTCAGCGCGCGCGCGGCGGCCGCGGCGGCCGTGGTGGCGGCCGACAAGCGCCACGACAAGCGCCTGGCCGACCAGCTGGCGCACGGCAAGCGCGAGGTGGGTGGCCGTCGGTGGCAGGCCGTGGCGGCGCGTGGCGGCGCGTGGCGGCGCGTGGCGGCGCGTGTTCGTGGCAGCACGGAAGTGTGCGCCTACGTGGAATATCGTGTGGGGGTTTTAGTCGGCGCGAGTGCGACGTAACCCGCTCTCGCCCCGGCGAGGGTATGCGTAGGCATTTCCCCGACGGCAACAAAAAAATATCTATATAATAAAATTCTTATTAGTGGCCGGCCGTGGCGTCGGTGGCAAGTCGTGGCAGTCGCCTTTTTATGTGGGAAACGCGGGTTAGTGGTTGAACTTGATTTTATGTTTCAGGTCGAGAAACTTTCACCGCAACTGATCGCCGCCGGAAAAATTCGTCTGCACTATCCCGATAGTAAGGTAAAAATTGGTTAACATAAACCAAGTCAATTATCCAACGGCAATCTAAAGTCTCCGTATGTTAGGCTTTGATCCAATCCATTGATATAATATGCCCGATTGAAGAGAAGGATGTTGGTTCGTGCTTAAGAAGACTGAACCTCCTCCTCCAGGTGGCTGAAGAGCACTTCAACAACCTGAGGAGCCAGTACGCCGACGCGGTGCTCCGCGTCAGGGACCTCTGCGACCAGGCCGTGGATCCCCTGGACTTCGTCAGGACAGCAGGTGATTTCTTCCTTCTCTTTCTTTCTTTTCGGTTACTCTCTAGATAGGTCTAAGTTTGCGAATCGGTGGTATCTTGATGTTCGTTGAGATTGAAAAAAGCTGCTTGCCATTGTGGTAAGGAAGTACCAAGTGTAAGAAGTGGACAATAATTTTGGTATCTGGCCGGTGAGTATGAGGTGGGGGGGGGAGCATATTCAAAGGATTCCCCCTCCCCACGAAAACCCGTTCCGTCACCTTCTGTATATTTGGAGCGACTTCGGCATCTCGGTCCGCACCACCTACGCCTCGGAGAAGGATAAACCTTCTCCGATTCTTCCTCAAGATCTTGTAAGTATTTTAAAATTGATATGTTTTATACCCTCAGGGTTGTCCATGTTAATTAATTCTTGCTTTGCGAAGTATTGACATGGGCTCATCAATTGCAGGCGAGCTGATGCAGAAGCACACTTATCTGTGCGAGGACGCGATTCGTAACAACGACGCGCAAAAGATGGTCGACAACACCTCCGCTATTGCCAGGTGAGGTTGTTTTTAGAAATCGTCCCAGATGGACTATCGCATTCGGCTTTCCTCAGTGGCTTTCTTATCACCCGAACAATGGAAAGTAGCGTAAATCTCTAAAACTTGGTGTGAGCAAAGCTGTATAGTCTAGTATCGATACCATTAGAGAAATATGATTTAATCTAATTTCGCCCGCTTTTGCTTCGTCTTCGCACGGTAAAGATCTACTCTGTATAATTGTGACAAATGTCGTCCTCGTACTGACAACATCTTGACGGGGTTTTTGCGTATCTAACGACTGGAGAAAAATTATTCTTGATACTCTACCTGAAACGTTTTCAACATACCGATGCGATCCGGTAAATGTCTGTAACTAGTGTGGTAGGACCACGCAACAGTATTCGCTGTTGCACGAATAGGCAGGTCCGTCCGGGTTAGTACCGCGACCTCACAGAAGACCGGTGTAATGTAGAAGTGTTACACTTCTGCGTTTCGTCTGCTGAGTGAGGTAACCAGGGCAAACACATCTGCCGGTGTTGCAAATGTCCGTGGGCGGCGGTTATCACTTAACATCAGATGAACCGCCAGCAAATACTATGCTTACATAATCTGCCTACCACTTGAGAAATATGATATAATCACGGAGCGGGTGGTCTCGTGATGGGTTTTTTTTAAAACACTGCCCTGGAAGACAACATCTCGCGTCGCAAAGTCGTTTGGCAAACATAAATTTCACGCGGCCAAACAACTGTCTGCGGGTCGCGCAAGTTGTCCGCGCGGGAATCGAACCGGCCGCGCGACGCATTGAATGCACCGTCGCAGGCTGGCGAACCGCGTGCTGCTGGTGGGCGGCGCGGAGCGCGACAACTCGGAGGACGGGGCGTTCGCGGCGGCGCTGGGCGGCGCGCTGCAGCGGCTGCAGGGCTCCATCGCGCCCGCCGTGCGCCTCGCCAAGCGGCTGGCGCTCGCCGACCGCGCCGCGCTGCCCGCCTGGCGCGCCGCCAACGCAGAGGTGCGCCCCCTCTCCCTCCACTTTGCCCCTTATCACTTCTCTATCCACTACCCTGCACTTTGCCCCTTACCACTTCTTAGGCCCTTATCACTTCTCTGTCCACCACCCTGCACTTTGCCCCTTACCACTTCATAGGCTCTTATCACTTCTTTCGCCCCTTACCCGTTTCTTAGTCCCTCACAGTAAACTTTACCTCTTTCCACCCCTTCGACTCTTACTCACTTCTTTGTCCACGACTCTAGACTTTGCCCCTTACCACTTCTTCCGCCCCTTACCCGTTTCTTGGTCCCTCACACTAAACTTTACCCCTTTCCACCCCTTCCTTACCAGTTCATTTGCTCTTACCCATTTCTGTGTCCACTACCCTCAACTTTGCCACTACTTTTAACCACTTCTTAGACCCTTACTCATTTCCTTATCCACCACCTCCAACTTTGCCCCTTACCACTTCTTTGGCTGTTATTCGTTTATTTCGCTCCTTACCCGTGTCTTTGTCTCTCACTCTCGCCTTGGCTTCTTACCAGTTTCTTTATTTGTCTTGGAACTAGGTATTTGTTTTGGTTATGACATATACACCATGTGAAACAACTTTTGCTCAACCAATTTCAATAATTACAAGTAGCATGCAAATGTTATATAGTAATATACATATTTCTATATCTACTAAAATTTGCAAAAAAAAGGGCGAAATGTTTCTCGCCGCTGTGGGAGTCGAACCCACGGACGCCCGTTCACAGATAACGAGCCCCACCCCGCTGATTGACCCTATTCCTTCGGTTCGCGGCATTGCGTGGCACGCATCACAAGGTTGCTGACCTTTTCAGATAATGAGCGCCACCGGCGAAGTGGAGGCGGCGTTCGGGCGCCACTCGGCACAACCGCCGCCGGTGGAGGCTCTCCGCGCAATGCAGCTGCGTGAGACGCCGCCGCCTCGCCCCCCTCCGCCCGCCCCGCCGGCGCCCGCGCCCCCCTCCGTCGCCGCAGCGCCCCCGCGCCCCCCGCCGCCCGACACCGACGACGAGGGCGAGGACATCTTCCGCCGGCAGCCGCACCCCAGCCAGCCGATCCTGGTACTTATTGTTGTGCCGTTAGAGTTCAAAAGCGTCCGCGAATGACGTGTGTTAGGCCGATTGGAATTTGTTCTCATTTGTTCACCGTACACTATCGCTACTGTAGGATATGAGCTGTGGCAGTTGTTTAAAGACAAACGTCTCGATCAGCGGGACGTCTCTCGTGAGATTTGAACCTAAGACCCACGGCACCGAAGTATAATCAGTAACTGCGCCTACCGAGCCATTAAATACATATTAAAAGTTCAAATTACATCTGAACAAAGATTGTTGTAAGCATAAAACGCTTCACGAAGTCTACAAGTAATTGCCAATTGTATTAATATAGTCCTTTTCAATAACTTCACGCCGGTCCACTGCGAGCTGGTGGTCTTCTGGTTGGAGACTGGCTAACCACTAAGCGTCCCTTCAGGTGGCCGCCCACAACCTGCACCACGCAGTACGCGAGTGGTCTTCGAAGGACAACGAGATCATCGCGGCCGCCAAGCGCATGGCCATCCTCATGGCGCGGCTTTCGGACCTCGTGCGCTCCGACTCCAAGGGTGAGCATCCATCCCCACCCCACCCCCCCACCCCCTCCTCTCCATCCCATCCATCACTCCTTCAATGACACATCAGATATTTTTTTTATTTACGTGGATATTACATTAATCCATCACACCCTTGGTGATATATCAGATTAACGTTTTTATTTATGCGGATATTACATTTGTCCATCACTCCCTCAATGACGCATCAGATATTTTTTTTTATTTACGTGGATATTACATTTATCCATCACTTCTTCAATGACATATCAGATTAACTTTTTTATTAACGCGAATATTACATTTATCCATCACACCCTCAATGATATATCATGACACATTTATCCACTGCTTTATTCCGAATTCAAGAAATTTCTTCTTTTTCATAATCGTTCCTTCCGAATTCTTTTCTATTTACTTCTGTATTCCGATTCCTTTGTCCTTTTTTTTCCATAAGTATTCTATAGTATTTTTTATTTTCGTTTCTGTAAAGACAACACACTTTTAGAGGTTTTCATCGATATCTTTCAACAATGAAACTCCGCCAATCATCTGTATATATGTCGAAGAATAAATACGACTCACCGACGAGAATTAAATCTTGAAATAATTAGATTTTTTTTTAAAAAAATTGCCTAAATATAATTTTGGCTTTCGCACAAAGAAATTTTTCAAGCTTTTTGCCTGTTATAAACTATAACAAATTTGTTTTATATTTATTGGTATGTTCACTGTGAATAATGTGATTTACATTATGAAATTTCATATGAAACCATTACACTTATATGCCATTATCAGCTTTATGTGTTTTTATGTAACATAGTATGTACTTATAGGCGGCAACAAGCGAAACACTTGAACACATCTTGAATTTTCAACTATCGAAAATAATCAATCGATTGCAGTTTGAAAGAAGTACTCATATGTATATGTTAAAAAGAACTGCACATTTTTATTTATCGCTATGAAAGTATTTCTAAGAAATGTGTTTCTATCGTCAGCGAGTTTCGTTTTAACACGTCTGTTGCACGAATTTATCGACACGAAATTTTAGTCACCTTTTTTATGCGAGAAGGTGGCAAGGCATCTCGGTTCAGACATTCGTCACCTCTATGGCTGCAGATACGTTGCCACCTTATAATAAAGTCGGCCCCGGCTACCTCACTCGCCAGACGAAACGCAGAAGTGCAACACTTCTACTTGACGCCGGTGTTCTGTGAGGTCGTGGTACTTTTTTATGTGAAAAGTTACCAAACGAGCAGACGGTTCACCTGATGTTAAGTGAATACCGCCGCCCATGGACATCTGCTACACCCGAGGGTTACAAATGTGTTGAAAACCTTTTGAAAATTGGACTCCGGCTACCTCACTCACCAGACGAAACGCGAAAGTGTTTGTCATACTTCCACTTTACGCTGGTCTTCTGTGAGGCCGTGGTACTTACCCGGACGGACTTGCCCATTCGTGCAACAGTGTTGCGGGGCCCTGCCACAGCTACTGTATATTTCGTTCGCTTGTCGCCGCCTCCGCCTCTTAGTGTTGCCATTCACTGTGTATGTCTTTACTGCTCACGTGGACAGAGGTCGCTTTGAATCTGAGCGGTAAGTGCCATCGCTTTACAAATAACCATTCTTTTTAGGTATAGTGTATAAAACTTGTACACTCACGAGCTTACGACTTGTCACTTGTAAACCATTTTTAACCGACTTCAAAAAAGGAGGAGGTTTCTCAATTCGACCGTATATATTTTTTTTTATGTGTGTTCGTGGATTACTTCGTCGTTTATGAACCGATTTTAATGGTTCTTTTTTGTTGGAAAGGAGGTAGTGGTACCATGATAAGGAAACCCAGATCTGATGATGGCATCCCGGAGAAATTGAGGGTCAATCCACAAATGTTATAGGCATTGAAAATGTTTTTTTAGTTTTCGGTTTTTTTTTTTGTTCAAAATTATTTGCTTATGACTCTGTCATCGCTTTCGACTGTACGTTTACAATGTGTAAGCGTATATAAATCATGTGGTCTCATGTTCAAGCTGCGTACCGAATTAACGGTACTAATCGTAGAGGCGTGATGACCCGTTATCCGGATGTTCGTTTTTAATTCAATATACTCGAGCAACCTGAGTTCGATCCCCGGTGTTAGCACCAATGAAATTGTTACTTTTAAGTGCTGACATGTCACGTGCTCCGCGGTGAAGGGAAGTATCGTAAGGAAATCTGCATATTTTCGAAATAAAAACAAAAAAAAAACAATATTTCGAATATATGTGAAGTCCGCCAAACCGCAGCGAGGTCGTGTGGTGGACTATATATATACTTTTTGTACAGAGCAAGCCTTTGCCCAGCAGTGGGGCATTTTAATTTACTTTAGATTTAATTAATATGCACGTATTTATAATTATGTTTTTTTTCTGGATACATTCAGTCGACTGTGTGTATCACCTTTACCGATTTTCCTGAAAAATTACTACCCGATTGGCGCATGATTTGGCGCAGATGTGGAGTCAAACCCCACTATTGGAAATAGTATTGTGTGACGAACTTAATGGTTTTTAAGCGTTCGGCTGCCTCAATATCCTTCCGGATTCCCGTCAAAACGCCCGGGTTCGATTCCCGCAGCGGGGAAAAACTTTTCGTCCGTTACTTCTACAAATTTTAATGTTTCTTCTTAAATGTACAGATTAGCACTGCAAAAGTTTGAACCTTTCATCTTCTCTTATCTTATCTATCGTCTCACTTTTATTGTGAAATCGCAGGTAGCAAGCGCGAGCTTATCGCCACCGCGAAAGCCATCGCGGAGGCCTCTGAGGAGGTCACACGCCTCGCCAAGAAACTGGCGCTGGAGTGCACGGACAAGAGGATCCGTACCGTGAGTCAATCTCCTTCTCTTTCTCTTCTAGGATCCTGGGCTACTTGGGTTTGACTCCGGAGGCCTGTAACTGAACCTGTCCGGAGACTCCGTGCGCAGTTGCCAAGGTATTGGCTTCTGCGTCGGGGGTCGTGGGTTCGATCCCCACACGGGACAACAATTTGTGTGACCCACAGATAGTTGTTTCGCATCTGGGTGTTTGTCCGCGTGAAGTTTATGTTTGTAAAACGTCGTTACAACGCAGGATATTGTTATCCTAAAGTAAGGACAATGTTTAAAAAAAAAACTAGGGCTAGCAGTTTTGCCGACCACGAAGTACCACGGCCTCGCAGAAGACTGGTGCGAAATGGAAGTGTTTCATCTACAGCGAGTGAGGTAGCCGGGGCCCACTTTATTATAAGGTGGCAACGCAACTGCAACCCTACGGTTGCCGCAAATGTCCATGGGGGCGGAAATCACTTAACATCAGATGAACTGCCAGCTCGTTTGGTGGCAATCGATATAAATAGCTTCTACTGTAACCCAACCCATCCTTTCATCACACAGAACTTGCTGCAAGTCTGCGAGAGGATTCCCACGATTGGGACACAACTCAAGATCCTGTCCACGGTGAAGGCTACCATGCTCGGTGCTCAAGGTGTGTCTCTCTCTATCTTTTTCTCTATCTTTCTTTCTCTCTATTTCTCTACCTCTCTTCCCTTGAATGTTTCGGTCTCTTTCTCGTTTCTAAATTTTAATCCAATTTCGAGTTAATTTGAGAATGTGCAGTTAAATGTCCTTTTGATCGTCGATGACTTAATTCGACAGAAATTAAGCGATCGTATTATTATCCATATGTAAAGAATAAAAAAAAATTGATAGTTTTAAGGTCTGCAGTGAACCTTCTGTAGGTACGGGGGGGGGGGGGAACTCAGTACGTTGTTTAGAAACAAGTACATTTTTATTTGTTATGTTAAATATAATAGTAAATACATTTATTCCGTATATATACTGTGCTTAATAATTGTCTATAACGCAATCGTTGTTATTATGTACACTTGATGTTTATTTCTCGCTTGTTGTTGCTTTGCGACGCTGCTTGATTATTGGCAGTCGGTTCGCCGGACTACAAAGGTGAGGCTTTTGTTAGAAAATGATCATTGTACGCTTGATTGTTCGTTTGTTTGTATGCCTTTATTGTACGCACTTTAATACAGACAATTGGAAGAAGTGACAAAAAAATTGTACAATTGCGAGCTAGCTAACAACTAGAATTAACTGTTGTGCAAAAATTAATATCAATTCAAACTGCAGAAATGCAGCTAGCGTTCTTGGCACCATGCCGCGTGGATTACGTTTATTAGATGATACATAATTTTAGATAGATTTTGTAAATATTAGATCAATAAAGACTGTAAACTTGTCAAAAAAAAAAATTTAAACTACTTTTTTTAAAACCTATATCTACAACATTTGGTTACAAGTAAGATATTTATATTTACAGTTCTTACGTACACAGGCAGCGTGCTAAGATGATGCATACATCATACTAGCACGCTGAATATTGCCTGAATATTTTTTTTATTAATGTCAATATCGATTCAGTACTTTCATGAATTGCCCATACAAAATTGGCTTATAGATAATATTGTGCGGTGTGATTCAACCAGAGTGGCTCGTTTCTCTTCAGTATTTTGATTTGTTGTTTTCTTTCCTGTTAGTTATGTTCCTATTCATTTCGGTCTTTACGACTATCCGGCTCGAAGGACCATTTTAATTACATCTCGTTTTATACTAAACTATCAACTTTAGCGATTAAGTGCTCTTTGTGCGGTATTATGATACAACAAAAGATTAGATACAATGTAAGTTCACGGCGTCCACGACTCAATTCCTGCTCAGAACTGATATGTCTGGTTACACCGTTACTAAGTAATACTACTTACATTAGCAGTAGTGAGTATCACTACTAGTGTAAGAATCAATGTTGGTTTTGTAATGTGATATCACATATATGTGATCGTTTTGACTGATATTTTTTCCGAGTCCGAGGTACGAGTATTTGTATTCTTTTCAAAAAAAATTAATTTAAAATTTTTATTCGACCTTTGTACTCGTAATGTCTTTTATAATAAACGAAGGAAATCTAACCCGATGTATGAATTGAATAATTGTTCTGTTTTATCGTACGGTACACTATTTAGAGCCGTGATAGCTCAGTGTCCGGGCGCTCGCCTTTAATTCAATATACTCGAGCAACCCGAGTTCGATCCCTGGTGCCGGCAACAATGAAGTTTTTAACTTTCAGTGCTGACTTATCACGTGCTCTGCGGTGAAGGAAAACATTGTGAGGAAACCTGCATATTTTCGAAATAATAAAAAAAATATATGTTTCGTAGATATGTGAAGTCCGCCAATCCGCAGTGGGGCCGCGTGGTGGACTATGCCCTGATACCCTCTGTACAGAGGAGGCCTTTGCCCAGCAGTGGGACATGTATAGGCTGTTACTTTACTTTACTTTTACACATTTTTTTACTAATATTATTATTGACTAATTTATTCAGTTTGTTAATACTTCGACCCTCAGGAAGCGAAGAGGACCAAGAGGCGACGGAGATGCTCGTTGGGAATGCGCAGAATCTGATGCAGAGCGTAAGCATGATTTGGATTTACGTTTGTTTAAATTATAGATCGGTAACAGTTTTATTTATTAGACAATGTGCTCATCTGGTTCATGATTACAATAAGTCTATAAAAACAGCCCGGTTGGCCCCGGGTGGGCCCCGGTTACCTTACTGATCAGATGGATACCACACTGATAGGGTGACACCCTTGTTCTAATAATCCATGGTAAGACGATATATACTCGTCATTATATCGTACAGCATAAAATACCTCCCGTTCTACATCTGTGATTGAAATTTGAAAAGGTGATATAAGAAATTTGCCTTACTCTACCATCATCGTAGCAAACTCTATCACTCAATACAGGATATATAGAAATGAGCTCGCAATGTTTGGTTCTGTTTGCGTGATCCAGGTCATTTATGTGACAGATCGTAGGTGAATTAATTCACTTACTCTACCATTATCCCAGTTTAATACTTGGTAGAGACAAATGTGATCCCTACATAACTATTGATTGATCCTCCATTTAGAGGTGGTGAATCATGAACTTGTATTCCTTTCCAACGCGGTCCCAATCGATTAGACAATACGGGACCAAAAGGGAAACCCAAGGTTGCACTAGCCCGTTCTTCTTCCATAAAAAACAGATATTAGTTGTTATTGTCTACCGGCAGTGCTCTACGACAGTGCTCTACCTAAGAGTTCTCTAATAGAGCTTTCACTAACACGTTCACCATCTAAAACTAAACAAGTTCGTACTATCAGTTGAGATGATACCAGTTAGCCAGTTTTCGAGTAAAAAAAAGCCTTTGTCCCTAAGCTCATGGTACTGAACAGTATGGTATAGTCATATATGATTTGTTCTTTTATTGACGCACCAGGTTAAAGAGACAGTGAAGGCATCGGAGGGGGCCTCCATAAAGATTCGAACGGAGCAGGGCGGCTACCGTCTACGCTGGGTGCGCCGCTCGCCCTGGTACCAGGTTTAGCTACGGCGTAGCGCACGTAGCACCGTAGCGGCTAAGACCCTAGTAGAAGAAGGCAGGTTGGAAATTCACCACTACGTTATTTTCTTCCTTCGATCGATGAAACATTTGTGCTTTTTGTATTAAAATGAGATATGAGACTACAAAAGTAGCATTTTCACACTTTGCCATTGTAACTTTATACCAGAGAGAGAATGTACAATTATTATATATTAAAATTCAAACCAACATGCATGTAACTTATAGTCCTTAAGTATGTCTCTGAAAATAATGCTTCAAAAACAGTAAAGATAATAAATTAATAAACGGTGGATGGTTTAGAAGTCGCTTTAGTCGATACGAAAAGTCTTTAAAGTTAAAAATGGATTATCCTTTGATATTTAGTTATAACCGGTCCTAACAGATGTATTATAGAAAATGTATTTTTGTATGTATGTAATGTCGGTATTTGCAATAAGTGTAATTAACAGCAATATGTGGTAAGGGAAACCTTACCAAGATCGACTTATACAGAGTGTTCGAGAATGTATTGGACAACGAATTGATTATATAGGGGGAGTCGATTGCGTGTGATCTTGTAAGCAAGTGCCATGAACAGTGCTTTATAGTGCGTAATATTAGAAACTGTGTTGTTCGTATGTCTGTCGCTGATTATATTTTGAAGTACTGGTACTATAGCTAATAGTTTTTTTTATTCAAAACTATTCTTCCGTGCATTAAATTTTGATAAAGTTCTGATGTATAGATATATTTTGAGTTGGCATTGAGTTTAACAAATTAAAGCATAATAATTAGTGCCTATATGTGGACGGACATTCGAAAGAATAAACAGATTTATATATCTACAAATTATTTATATGTAACATAGTTATCACCGAACATTTCAATGTGAACCTAACATAGTCGGGTCTAACTTGAAATTTATTAATCACTTGCCTTAACCATATTTGAATATATATCTGAAATTAATATTAACGTTTATATAAATTGAATCATCCTGTGTATTTGAAAAGAACCCACTGACAAACCACCCTATTGCCAAACTTTGCTTTTGTAAATTTCGAATGAATTAGTTTGGAGTTTTCATTTAATCATAACATGTTAATTCTCGTAGAATTTATTGTATTTTATCAAACACCATTTAGAAATTGCCGTAAGGCCCACAAACTTTTTCTAAGAATGGAAATAATAAAGTCATTTTTTGCATTTAATGATTTAGTATGTTTTATAATTATAAGTTTCATTCAAGTGTATGCAGTTTACACAAGAAATGGCATCTGAAATTTAATTAGTAAAATTACAGCCTTGTTATTAATAAGTAATTTATTTCAGACAACCCCCTACACTATTTAAGTTCTTAAAAATGGCCTAAATTTCAGTTCAGTCAGGTGTAAAAAGAATTGTTGTTGAAGGCTTCATATACAGGTTGATTCGATTTCTTTTATATATAGAGCGATATTTTTGTATGAGTGAGAGTCATGTAACGAGACGTATACAAACTTTGTTGTAATTAATAAAGTGTGATAAATAATAAATGTGTAACAATAAAAAAAATGTTAGCCGTTAATTATAAGTAACACGCAGTGGTTATCGTAACTTTTTGTGCTTTTTTTATTTATACATTTTATTTCTTATTTTATTTACATTTTTTTGTTTTCTTTATTTTCCTAGAACGTAAGTTTTATTTATTGCAATAAACCTTTTTTTTATTTACCTTCGTTTTGTTTTTTTTTTTTAATCTTTTTCACATGCATATATCTAAGAAATATCGTCTACGGATTTAGTTTTAGTAGTTCGATGATTTTTATAGCATCTAAGATTTATCTCCTTATGGAACAATGAAGAAGTTTCCACACGGCCTAATGATGTAGAGATTTTGTTCTAGCTGTACTAAGAAGTTCACAGATTAAATAGAACCACCACATGAAAGCTTGAGATAAAAAAGGTTTAGAGTATGTTTATATAGGTTACATATATATATATATATATATATATATATATATACAGCGTGTCTGTACCATCCCGACAATAAATGAACACACATATAGATTATAACTTTTTAAGGTTGTATTAAACATTTACATTCTTTAAACATCAATATTTACCGAGTTACTACATTTTCCAAAACAAAAAATTTTAGAACACCCTTACGTATAAAACTGTAACGTAAAGTTCATTTGTAAAGGTCACAAAGCACATGAATGGGTTGAATGAATTTAAAAGAGACAAAACAAACTGGCAACGAATGAAAAAGTCTCTGAATGTATGAATCAGTCAGTTGTAGTTGTGTAGGATGTTACAAATTTTGTTTTTTTTTCTTAATTAGTTTGTTTCAAAAATATTTTTTTTTAATTTTGAAATTTTTTTAACGTTAATATTTTTTTATGATTATTGGCAAGTAGCGTTAGACGTGTGTTCATTTATTGTCGCGATGGTAACGACACGCTGTATACATAACTAAAATATTATGTAAAAAAAAACGCTTTTAAAGGGATAATAAATCTACCCTTTAGTTACCCCAGTTTAGTCAGACTAGTGTTTTTAGTGATCGTTAATCGCCCATTGTCATTATTAAAAATGAAGTCTTTGTTTGATATCTCAAAAGTATAAGTTTGACAGACAGATGAGAAAAAGTTACTGATTCATTTCACTTTACCTAGATATTTTTATACATATTATAGATAATATAGATAGATTATAGATAATTATTAAATATTTTAATAACGCACAATTACAAATTTCTCATAAATGTATTGTCTTATAAATTTAGTTTGCTCTCCAAAAAAATTAAGATAATATTTTTATCCTCGATAATAACGTGACCGACGCATGAAGATTTAATATAACCTACGCCTTATATTTGCTGCCGTATAATTTTCAAAAAATTATAAATTGTTAATATTATCTACGTTTGTTTTCAAATGTCATCTTTTGTTTTCAAATATTTTCGTATAAAATATAATAAATATAATATTTATACTTCTTCTTTCGCGCTGATATTCTGTGAGGTCGTGGTACTTATCCGGACGGCCCTGCCCATTCGTGCAACAGTACAGGCTGTTTCGTAGCCCTACCACAGTTAAAGATAGTAAAAGTAAAGTAACAGCCTATACATGTCCCACTGCTGGGCAAAGGCCTCCTCTGTACAGAGGGTATCAGGGCATAGTCCACCACGCGGCCCCACTGGATTGGCGGACTTCACATATCTTCGAATTTTTTTTTGTTATACTTTTAAAGATATACAAAATTATCTATATGTTTATCCTAAATAACATGCCCAAGATCTTCTCATTCCTGCCATTTATCTTTATCCCACCTTTGTGGAGTCAACACAAAATGCGAATGCAATATCGCTAACACAACGTAACTTATTAATGGATGCCTTCTTACCTAATTCAGCTGTCTTATAGTAAGTGAATCAACTTGAAAAAATGAAAACTAAAAGTATTAATTATTTAAACAGTTGCTGATACCCTGTTTAAATTGATAGATTTTTTTTAGTTTCATCTTGTTAGCATTGTCCATAGTCTACAATTTATTTATACAGCGTGTCGTTACCACCGCGACAATAAATGAACACACATATAGAGGATAACTTTTTTAAATTTTATTAAACATTTACATTCTTTAAACATCAATATTTACCGAGTTATAAAATTTTCCAAAACTTACGTTTTTAGAATAACCTTACGTATAAAAGGGTAACGTAAAGTTCATTTGTAAAGGTCACAAAGCATATGATTGTGTTGAATGAATTTGAAAGAGATAAAACATACAGTTAGAAGGAGAGATTTGTAGTGCGACGTTGCGGCAACGAATAAAAAAGTGTCTGAATGTATGAATCAGTCAGTTGTAGTTGTATAGGATGTTACAAATTTTGTTTCTTTTTTATTTAATTAGTTTGTTTAAAAATATTTTTTTTTCAATTATGGATTTTTTTAACGTTTTACATTTTTTATGATTATTGGCAAGTAGCCTTAGACGTGTGTTAATTTATTGTCGCGGTGGTAACGACACGCTGTATATGGTAACCCTTCTACCATAAAGTATTTTAATTGTAGTAGAATAATTGAAAGGGGTAATGTTTTAAGAAGCAATATGTTCGAAAAATGTTCGATATATTTCTCTGTACCGATACCGTACTCGTTAAATTGACAAATATTACAATTTACAATTTTCAAAATATTAGTATTAAGTTACATTATTACTTGTGATACATGTAGTTTGTATCTTAGAGCTTTCACATATTTATTGCTGTCGGTAAATGTACGGATAAAGATGAATAAATATTTATTCTTTTGCTGTTTGTTTCATTTCACCTACTATTTATCTTTTAGGTTGTGATTGAATCTACGAGTGGAAAACCGCAGGTGCCTTCAAGAACTGATCAAACATTCATTTCATTAATCTTTCTAACTGAAACTTTAATTTTACACACACGGAGCTTTGTGAGTTGTTATTATTTATTGAATAAGTAAAAGTTCAATTGGGAATGAAAATACAACAAACAAAAAGTTTAATATTTTACCTGTTACCTATGCATATTCACATATACCTAAGTACCCCGTACACACATACCGAAATCGACCTACAGCGAAGTGCCCAGTGATTACGAAAGTTCACATGAATTATGCGATGCATTGTACGTTATTCCCGTGAAAGTGCTGACGGTGTAAATTCAGGTATCGTGGGACAATCAAACCTGTATCGACTAACTGATCTCGCTCAATCGCCGTAGCGGAAGGTCGTTCCATTTAGAATAAGTTAATTTTAAGTATACTTTGTATTTCTTGGCTATTAAATACTGTAAAGGACAAAATCGCCTTTTAAAAACTCCTACCCAACGGCCGAATACGTATCTTACCTCTGTCTATTTATAAATAAAAGTATTATTAGATTTTATTAAACAAATAACGTGAAAGTTAACAAATTAACAATATTTTATTAAGTTTATTAGCACAAAAGTGTAAGTTAGGGGATGGGATTCGGTCCTGAAATACAGGGTAATACACATCTAACGGTAGGTGTAACTGTCTTTTGTGAGTTAATTCACCTTACAGTTTGTGAATTGGAAATACATTCCACAAATTCATTAAAATTTCAAGTAATTAACACGAGAATAAATTAACGTATGAGACATACATCCGTCCATGTGAGATATTGCACCGTGCGCCAGATAAAGTTTATTTTATGTGCTTGTTCGATAAGAAATATGTAAAAAAGAGGCCTAGCTTAATGGCGGTACAATATGAAGCTTAGAGGCTAGAGGTGCCGCGGCCGTGCGCCGCCGCGACGTTGCCGCGCCGCTCATTCCGCGCGCGGCCGCCATGTTGTTCAGCGAGAAGCTCGACCTGCGGCTGATACGGCTGGTGCGCGACAGCCCCGTGCTCTACGACCACAACAATGCCAAGTACATGGACTTCAACGCGCGCGAGGTCGCCTGGCAGCGGATCGGCGACGAGCTCGAGCGGCCCGGTGAGTGGGCCGTTTACACGGCACGATCACAGCCGCCCCTACTATGGTGCCACATGCCACTCGAATGGACGCTTTCGAGTTTGCTTACGTCTCGGTGGAGCACAGCCGGGGATTTTTTGTTGTGATGTTTAATTAAACTTTGGTCATTTAAGTGAAATTTAAGAGAGTTATCGTGTAATATAATTTCTATCGCGTAATATTATTTTCATCCTAACTTAAATTTACGTTGAAGTTCCACGGAATGTAATAAATAAACAAACTATGTTATATAATGCTTATGCATTTGTATCTTATATTCAAAATTCGTCTCATCTGATTCTATTACGTTAAGAACTAATCAATTTATAATATTCTAATTGCTTACTTCAGCTGCCGACTGCAAAGTGAGATGGATCAACATAAGGGACGTGTACCGACGGATACTGCGCAAGAGCCTAACCGAGCCCGAGCAGCGCACCAGGGTGTACAAGTACGAGAGCGAGCTGGCCTTCATGAGGTCCTTCTACAAGGACGTTCTGATACAGAACGGCGACTTCGACTCCGACGGGAAGAGCGTCGAAACGGGCGACGGCGACCGCTTCGACGATCCCAACAGCGAAGACGACAAGCCGATTCGGCAGCTTAGAACCAAGAGATCCGCTAAGTCCGCCAAGAAGAAGAAGAAGAGGAAGAGCTACGAGGAAGCCGAGGGGCCCCTCGGTCAATCGGTCACTTTCAACGAAGGTGCGCAGTCGGATTTCGATGTGTCGGACCCCGTGGACGCTTTCTTAATGAGCATTGGCGCCACATTAAAGACCTTCTCACCGTATCACCTGAATCTGGCTAAGAGTAAAATATTCGCGGTTGTCCAAGAGCACGATTTACAGCAGATAATGCAGAAAGGACGCGCGGAGTCACACGACACCGCAGCAACTAATTCGGTGTATTTACAGTAGATATTGAAGTTGTTTGCTTGAATATGGTGTTAATATGTATGCTCTTGTGTAAGTTTTACGAGTATTATTAGATGCATTTATTATGTTAATATCAAAGCGCTTAAGATTCCGGGATAAATCTTTGATTTAACACGTGTTTAGAATTAGTTAAACGTAGAATGTAGCGTATGGTATTACAGTTTAAAGTATTTTAAGTATTTCCTTTGTTGCGATATCACGGAATATGTATATCAAATATGCCAACATAAACTGTGTCTAGGAATCTAATTATTCTTGAATTATCATGTGATATGCAATAAATAAAGATATAATTTTTATTTGAAATCATCTGTCAATTCTGTTTAATTATAATAATAAAAATTTGTTTAATAAATTTAAATATTCAATTTTTATTTATATTCAATTTTTATTCATTCATGTTCTGTATTAAAATTCAATTTAACAAAAAAATACAATTTTCAGCTCTCTTTGTAACGAGAACACAAAGTATACTTGCAAGTTAAACTAAAGAGCAAGAAATAAAATGGGAAAGCAGTGAGTTCGACAACACATAGTACAGGCCGTTCGATAAAGTAAATTTACGAGTATACGACTATGTACAGAAGTATTGTTAAAATGTCCGAATGTATAAATGTTTTCACCTTCAAATGTAAAGCGGCTTTCTGCCACTTTCTCGCTACGATTTGGTTCAAAGACTTGAGAGGTTTTTACGCTGGATTACTACCTAACTTGATAATCTCAGTTCATATATTTTCTAAAACTCCGAGGGCTTTATATCAATAAAGCTTTACACAAATTTAGAGTCTGAAGTTTTTTAAATAATATCACCGTAGTTTTCCTTTATGCGTTGGAAAAACAGTACATATTTAAGAAAATAAAAAGCCAATATCTTAATTTGGCTAGTTATAACAAAGCTTTAAATAATAAAACATAATTATGTTAGTAGGTAGCTACTTTAAAGGGCGGATTTGAAAGCATCTTATAAAAATATATTCACATAGTACAGTACGAGCTTAAAATGCCTTTCATATAAATGGTCATATAGAAGCATAAACACGAAGTAACGCAATTCTAGGACGGATTGACTCAGCCATAAATGCAGACATAATGTAGTAGACATAAACTGATGCATAGATAACTCCGTTACGAAGGTCTGAAGTTCCACCACACAAATAGTGAACGTATTTAAAACAGTCGACAATCGTGCCCAAAACGGAGAGAGACGCGTCAAACCCGTTGGGTCGGATCGTCACGCACACAAGTGTCGTAGTCGAGTCGAACCAGTCCCGGGCGGGCGTTGCTTCTCGGTCGTTTACGTAACGTCGTGTCGTGTGCGTCGGTGCGGTTACACGAGTCTCTTTTTCAGCCGACTTCAAAAAAGGAGAAGGCTTCTCAATTCGAGCGTTTATATTTTTGTTATAAATTTAGCTAATTATAAAGTCAATATAATTAGGTAAATGTATATTATTTCGTTTCCCACTACCCTAGTGGTACCTATTACTTTTTCGTAGATTTGATAACATTATCTATTGAAATTAGTTTTAATCCTTTTTTTATCTTATAACAGTATTACATTTATGATAAAATATTTTTATCATATCGCAGTCATTATGACTGATATTGAAAACATATTAGAAATATTCATCTTACTCAATCGTTTACTATTATTATTGTATAATATAACCTTCATAATATCACACTTTTATAATATAATATAATCAAAACTTTAATCATAACACATAAAACATAATATAATCAAATCTTTTATAATATAATCAAAACTTTTTTGTCCAAAACTTTTTCAATTCACAGCAACTTTGTACTGATTAAACGTCTAGTCACTAGACGTTTAATCCACACCACAAGACTGTAGGTATAAATATGAATCTGACTATATTCCAAAACGTATACTTGTACCAAAGTATGAGGGATACATCAAAAAAAAAATATACATAATAGGTTTTTTAAATAGGAGCACGCCGGGTGGACGCGCGCCACGGAGCAGCGACGTTGCCGCTACGTGCACGACGCCTCGGCGTGCAGTTGGCGCGCGACGCGTCCGGAGCGACGTCGTCCCGTCAGCGACGCGTTACGACAAATTTAACGCAGATGTAGTTACGACATTGCAATAAACGATACGTTAAATCGCCGAAGATGCCTCTTCCGTTCAACAAGAGCCTGGACCTGAAACTTTTGAAGTTGGTCAAGGATAATCCGATCATTTACAACCCGAAAAATGCGAAGTACCTGGACTTCGACTCGCGAGAGGTCGTCTGGCAGAAGATCGGGGACGCGCTCGGCAGGCCCGGTGAGTTGCGACCTTTTGATTTCGCGGTACTCTTCAACCCTCACAAAAATTTGAGCTACATTCATAATAATCAAAGGGTTTATTATAGCATTGGCAACCTTTATTTTAAGCGATCCTTTACATGGGAATTTGATCTCCATTTATGTAATACTAACTGCCGCACTCAGATATTCCAATTAAGATTTAGTGGGAAATAAACAACGAATTCGACGATTTAGAAATAGACGATAATTACGAATTCTGTTTGAAGAATTTATTGATAAATAAGACTACACATGACACATCATTCAATTATTTAATCATTAAACATTGTCATGTGAAATAATAATTTTTATAGTACGGCCGAAATAATGGTTTATAACTGTGTACCATAATTTCACCCCGATATTAATTGCCGAGTTAAATTCTGACCGTTCACTTGATATCGGAATAGCGTTGGAATATTAATGAATTCGTCATTAGTAGTAGTTTTGATTGAGTAGTGGTTTTTTGATTGTCGTACTTTTAACGGACAAATAAATTTAGGAATGGAGCATGTGTCCGAGAGGTATTTAGGGTAAACTTTTGGCATTCAAGTTAAATTTTCTTGAAATTTAAAACGTCATTAACGTAATGTTGATTGATGTAAACAGGGAGGTTGTTACTTAAAAGGTTCATATATGTATGATCGTAAAACCCTTCTCTGTTCAAAAGGCATTAGGGCATATGTCTTGAGATATTTTCAATATTATTTTTTTCACTTATTATTAATATTATTTCACATTAGTCGGTATTTAAAATTGCACCTTACAATTTTATTAGTGTTTGCACTGGGATTTGAACGGGGGTTGCTCGAATACATTGAATTATACGCGAGCGTCCTGGCATTGAGCTATAAAGTCATTTTGTTTGACTTTTTTGCCCTCCTTTGTCTCTTTTGCTCTTTTTTATATTTTTAAAATCTTTGCGTAGAATCTTCCAGGAATAGAATAGCTAATTTATTTATATATTTGACAGGAGAACCAACGGCAAATAATAATATAGTACAAAGAAAAAGGTCTAGCGTTATTGAAGCGATTTCTTACTATAATAATTATTTTACACAACGTTCTCTAGTTCCAAACTAAGTAACGATTGTACTGTGGGTACTAGATAAATGATAAACATACTTAAACATACTTTTCTTTTACTTATAAATACATAGATATATATATTCACCCAGACACTAGAAAAATACTATTTTCATCACACAATATTTTTCCAGTAGTGGGGATCGAACCCCTGACGCAGGAGATAGGTACACTACCCACTACGCCATTCGGGTCGTTATCATGACCATTCCAGAGCTTGTCTGCAAGTCTCGAAGGGCTTGCCGATGCACTGACTTGACGATCAATCACTGCTATTCATCTGTATAAGTACTAACCAATGTCACTCCCGTTTCCAGCGCTCGTCTGCAAGTCCCGGTGGATAAACATCCGCGACATGATGCGCCGCAAGATCCGCGACCGGCTGCGGAACCCGAACCACCGCAGCTACAACTACAAGTACGAGGAGGAGCTCGCCTTCATGCTGCCGTACTTCAAGGAGCCCAACGGCACCGGCGACGAGTTCGCAGACTACCTGGACTCCAGCGCGGAGGGCTGCGAGGTGGAGATGCCGACGGAGGTGTTCGTCGACGAGACCACGGACTACGAGCGGCACGATAGAGACCTCAAGCCCAACCTGACCACGCTCCGACGGAAACGGTCCCAGGAGGACCCCGCCCACCTTCACGACGCCCCCTACCAGGACCTGAATCCGGCGGATCCGCTCGACGTGTTCCTGATAACGATCGGGTCCACCTTGAGGCGCTTCAGCCCATACCACCTGAACCAGGCGAAGAGCAAGATCTTCCAGGTGGTCCAGGATTACGAGCTGCAGCAGATCATGGGCAAAGACGACCAGCCGCCCGCGAGCGACACCAACAGATAGTGAAGGCCCGGTACGGGTACTTTGTGTCTCGTTTATCGTCTACAACTAACGGTTCTCTTCACTGGTTCTGGAATAGGAATTTGACAGAGTCAACGAAGACTATAGACTGTATGACAATAAAGTCATTCGTTATAAACCAGATCACAGTGTACCAAGCACCGATTTGATCCTTTTCGCGAGACGAATAACAAAATGTCAAATAACGTATAAGTTGACAGCTCTTTATTTAGACGACGAGTCGTGGTTTTTATTAAAGTACTCGCGCTGAAGGGATGAAGAAGACTAGATGATAAGCCTGAATGAAGGTATTTAGAGGCTATTGCGAAGATAGTTCAAAAGGACACCCTTACTTGAACAAATTAAGATTGTGGAACCGTACTGCGTTCGCTAATTAAGCGTTATAAATAATGTTGAGTAATATCAGAAGTATGTGGTATGGCTGTGCCTGTCTTTAAACTTATATGTGCGACTCGGACATAAAAAAGAAAAAAACATGTACGCACCTAAGAAGTTATACTTCTGTAGTGTAACAAAATAAAAAAAAAAAAAAAAATTTATCCGTCGTGCAAGTACTCATTGTTTGTGAAAAAGACATTAAACGTGCTTGAACAGTTTAATTCAATAACTTTGAAATATGGGTAAATGTAAAAAAGTAGTTATTGGTTGCCATGGAACACCATGAGGTCGGTATCGCTTTTAGGTGTCACGCATCCTAAAAATTCACCATTACCATTTTTCCCAAAGGCGCCAAAAGAAAAATATAACCTCAAAAGTTGTTGTGAAGTTGAAAATTTGCTGCGTGTTAGTTTTGGCTAGTGCAAATGTGGAAATATTGTGTATTCGATAAGTCAATACCCTTTACGTGACAATAACGTCGTTACTTGGAGTATATTATTCATTTGTTAATTGAAAGTTAAAATAAGTGTCAAAGGTACAAATTACATGAATGCGGGTTACTGATTAAGTGCCTTAATGTAGTGCGGTAAGTAGTAACGTGTTTTATTTTATTACTCCATTTTGTTTTTAGTTTTAAAAATGGCGCGGTACGTATACGCCATCATGATTGGAGAAAATTGAAATAAATCTAAACGTTTATTTGTGAACAATAAAATAAAAAATATTTTATTTTAAATTAAAACGCGACAGTACGTCTTTGTTTTGGATTTTTTCACGTATTTCATATATGTATGTATAAATAATAATGAATATTTCATTTTTTTTTCTTATATTTTGCATATGTATAAAGAATTCTGCACATGACTATAATTATATGACGTCTTGACAAAGACTGATTGTCTTGTTTTTATTTCGCTTTTTTTTATTTTATTGTACATACGTAAAAAAATATGTTAAGCAACTATTAGTTTTTCTTTATATATTTTGTTTTTATGTCATCGGTGTATTCCGAATAAATGAATCATTTTAAAACTGTGCTCTTATTTACAGTTTACACCCTCCGCTAATAACAGGATAGACCCCACGATGCTCTAAATCAGTTTTCATAATAATAAAATACTAATAATAATAAAAAGTTCCACACTGTTGGATGACATTCTATTTTTATTATATGACACCTTTTTATATCTTTTTACTAAAATTCCCTCGGCGGTTCTGTACGTTTGGAGGCGCCCCTGGATCTCGAATAGGTCTTACTTAGGAGTACTTTTAGGAATATAAAAGAAAAAATAATATTCGCCCACTATAAATCATCATTAACTCCGGACACTGCGCGAACAGAACACAACGTTGGTAATGTCTATAACGTCACAACAAACATTACTGTTCGATTTAAATATGTAATTTTGGGCCTGACGTTAATATTTTTTTTTTAATTCATAGAAAAATTGAAGAAAAGTATTTCGCCGCCGCGGGAACCGAACCCGTGTCTTCGGGAATCGCGCCCAGACGCTTTAACCACCAAGCTAAACGGCTGGTTGCCACGACGACGACAATCTCAAAGTATTTTATCTTATCCTTTAAAGGAGCAATTCTTATATATATATATATATATATATATATATATATATAATCGGAAACGGCTCCAGCGATTTTCATGAAATTTAGTATGTGCGTAGATTCGGGGGCGAAAAATCGATCTAGCTAGGTTTCATTTTTAGAAAATGTCCTTTTATCCCTGTTTTCAGGGAATGAAAAATATCATTCGAATATGACAGTAAATTTCGCCGCAAAATAAAACGTTATAATAGCTCGGTCGGTAATCGGGCGGCCCCAAAACAGACGGCCGCGGTTCGTATCACGATCATTTACACATTTATTTTTACATCTTTTCTATACTAGATCATTTTCTTTATTTTTTTTTATTTCCAACATACATGATTTACTAAAGAAAAAACGAGCAAAGCCTCCTCCAGGTACTGTACGTTATAGTTTAATTGAAAACTGTTAATTTAACTAACAGTGGTTTTAGATTATTGTTGCTAGCACTGCCCACTTTAATGGCAATTGTTGAAGTCGTTCTTATCCCCTCATCGAATTTTCCCAGTAATAGAAATTAGTTTAAAAAAATGTTTGAGCAAGGTCTGGTGTGTACGGTGGGTGATGTTGTTATGAGTGTTCAGGCATAACTCTTCTACTGGTGAAACCCGCGTCGAGCAGTTGGCGTAAATTAAGTTACTTACTTGTTAGGGTTTCGTACCTTAAAAGGTAAAAAAGAACCCTTATAATATCACTCTCTTGTCCATCTGTCTGTCCGTGAGTCACCACCGATTTTTTCAGGAATGGGTGGACCTAGCAAGTTTAAATATATACCAGATACATGAGTCCCTACTTGGTGTATAAAAATCCAGGTCCTCAGTCAACATGATAAAAAGGTATGCAAATTTAGATCTTCGCGAAAACTAAGGTACCAAAATTTAGATTTTTTTTATTTTGCTAATTAATCTCTCACTCTACTTAACTTAAATACCAAAAATTTTCTACAAATTTTAATAGGTACCAAAATTTAGCTTTCTTTAGAATGTTTTTATTTTTCGGAATTTTTCCTTTACTTTTCAACTAGCTAGAGCCACCCGTTCCTGCGAAAATCGGTGGTGAGCGCCCTATTAAATTTTCTGTTAACAATCCGGTTGTTAATGACAATAAAATGAATCAAGTTATGAGTCTTAAATTACGATACATTTTCAAGACTCGTTTTCTCTATGTATGTAATGATGTTTTTCTTTGTTTTTATAAGACAAAAACTTTTGGTTCAAATTCGCCGCCCCTAAAATCCGCCACCATAAGCTCTAGCCTACTCAGCCTGCTGGTAAATCCGCCACTGTGCAGTGCGCTGCCAGCGTTATATCGGCAACTGATAACCTAGCTTACAGGAGGACACTCCGCGAATAGGCAGGCTCGTCGGTAGAGGTACCACTACTGCACAAAAGACTACCGTGAATCGGAGTCGGTATGTGCTATATATACCCGCTGCAACGCAGGTGATGTAATCAGGATCCACCTTTTTTAATGTTGGCAACGAATTTACAACCCGTCAGGTGTTGTGGGTCTGCTTTTTCAATGTTGGCAAAGCGTCAGGTGTTGCAGATGTAAGTATGCGGCGGTAATCACTTAACATCAGGTGAACCGCCCGCTCGCTTGACAACATTTTTAACAGCGTTAAATTATAAATTTTTGTACTTTGTTCCAGCTTGAGTTAGAAGTTCTCGTTTATGTTCAATGTTGCTTTCATAAAAAGTATTTTGAACGGCGTTTCTTTTCATCACATACAATGGAAATTAATAATGGTCAAGGTGTGTGAGGTTAATAAATAGAGGTGTGTGGAAATGATTCTTGCTCTGCACTTGAAAGTCCCCTGGCTGCTGCTGATTTTATGCTTAAATAATTTTGTATAATTGAAAGAAATAATAAGATAAAACCGCAGAGTTTCTTGCTAGTTTTATCTGTATAGGTCTAGTTTAGTGTACCGGTGGAACTTTATTTACGTTTAATAAAAGCTTAAAATATTGTTTTTTTTTCTCTTTTAAATATTGAAGCTTGCTCACTAACCTACTGACCTAGTACCATACTCTATTAATGTTTATATTACGTTATACCTCCTATGGAGTGTTTAAATATACAGTCCTCGCACTGCTACTGTTATGACTAGATGACCAAAACAACGACGTGGTTTATATTTAGTTGGTAGATAGGGCACATTAGGGGCCGCCTTATGTTCCGAACACGGTTTAAGTGATTGCAAAACAGGAAAATCACCGCCGCGTGTCAGCCATCGGCCGCAGTATGACGTCAATTTAGGTTGACCATCCATTAGGGTACTAGTTGGACTCTCTGTGCATATTGTCAATTGTTCAGTAAGTCACTGTGGTAGGGCAGTAGTCACTGTTGCTCGAATGGGCGGGTCGGTCCGGGTAAGTACCACGACCTCACAGAAGACAGGCGTAAAGTGTTAAACTGCTGCGTTTCGTCTGATGAGTGAGGTAGCCGGGGCCCTATTTAAAAGTGGCAACGCATTTGCAACCCTACGGGTGTTGCAAATGTTCATGGGCGGCGGTTATCACTTAACATCAGGTGAACCGCCAGCTCGTTTGCCACTTTCTCACATAAAAAAAGTCAAGGGTAACCGGTATGTTTCGTCAGTTGTGCGTTTCGTCTGGTGGATGAGGAGGCCGGAGCCCAATTTTCAAAAGATTCTCAACGCATCTGGAACCCTCGGGGGTAGCAGATGTCCATAGGCGGCGATATTGACTTAACATCCGTGAACCGTCTGCTCGCTTGGCAATTTTTCAAATAAAAAATACCTGAATACCTTATAGCCCTATAAGGTCCTTTTAAGGATTCCGTGGGGCAGTTGTCAAGGTATTGGCTTCGGCGCCGGAGTCGTGGGTTCGAATCCCACACGGGACAACTATTTGAGTGTCCAACATAAAATTGTTTCGGGTCTGGGTGTTTGTTCACATGAAATAAAAAAAAGGAAAGAAAAGAAAATAAGAAAAGAAAGTAAATAAAAAAAATAAGTCGTTTAGATAGTCTTTAGATTT